TGTACAAGACATTATGTCCAAAAATGAACTTTACAATTTTAAGGGGGGAGGGGCGAAGGTGGAAGGGGGAGGTGGGAGATGGGAAGGGGAACAAAGGAGGAGGCAACAATGCTTGTAAGAAATGTTCTCATTACCTTGCCCATGTAATTGTAGCCCCTCTGTACATTATTTTCACAATATAAATAAATACTTAAAAAGTATGAAACTAATTATATACAAAATTGCTAAATAAAATATTTGTTAATCAAAAAAAAATTATCTCCATTGGTGCTTTCTCTGATTCCCTCCACCAGGAAATGAAAACGTTACATTCCTAATTACCTAAAGTAAATGAGCTTCAAAGCTATATTTATCAGTCAGTACTCAAGAAACCACAAAACTGTCTTAATTGGCTAAACCTTAAAAATTACTTTTCTGAACTGAATCTTTACATATTTGGATCATTTGCAATGGGAATAATTGTTCTTATTGTTTCAGCCTTTCAAGTAATATGTGATGCTATATCCTGAACAGAACAGAATAGAATGAAGATGATCATACTGCTTTCTTCACAACAACAAATGGCTGTTTTAAAAATGAAAACAGGAGATATGTCTAACCCTCTATCCCCATGAGGACTATGCTTGGGAGCAGGAAGTATGAGTGCACAGTGTGCATGGAATGTTCCTGATACCAGCAGGAAACTACTGTTGGTATGAATGTTTATCCGGTGTCTGAGTAAAGACTCAAGATTTCTGCTGCTTATTTGATTTTCTGCCATAATCCTGCCAAAAGACAGGATAAATGCCTAAGTGTACTTACCTTACTACATCGTATATCCTGATAACAGTCCTTTGGAATGAGACCTTTGATCTGCAACCAAGACCTTTCCCAAGAAAGTGTTTTAGCCCCTAAAAAATAGGGGTGGAAAAGACTCCAGTTGGAATATGTCTGCTGATTAAACTCGTTTCTTCTGGACAATATATTGTTTCATGAGTAATTCTTCATCCTTCATCACAGCATTCTCTGGACAGAACCAGAACTCTGGTGGAAAAGTGGACATATATTTAAATAGTCCTATGATAGAAACAGACAAGAAATAAGCTTATTCTTCTTATCTGAGAATCTCAAATTAAATCAGAGCACCTGTTGGACTGAAGAAACTAAACAATACATACTCCAGAAAGGGCTTTCCAGCAGTGGGAGTCACAGGTGTATACAGGTTTAGAGCAGCAATGGCATTGACTAATAAAATTGAAGTTGGGCATACTTTTGAATCAACCATTT